GAAGTTGAGCAGGAATGAAGTCTTTCAGACTACATTTCGTTTCGATCGATACGCCTAAGTCTGCCTTCTCCATGTATCGATAGCTACTGTTCCAAGAAAATTAAAGTTATCCTTCAGCTTTCTTCGAAGAAGGTATAGAACCTGATCGGGTCCGGGTGGCTGTTAAGCTGGAACATCGAAAAAGGAGTTCCGATCACGTTATCTTAGCATGTCAACAGCTGGCATAAAGCCAGTTTCAAACGACTGGAGCTTACACACAAAACATCGAATCTATTCGGTACGTCTACAAAATGGTGCATAAACGCCAATGCAGCACACACCGACCTTTAGTGGACAGCTACTTGTTTGGGTTCGTTTGGAGGCAAAGGTACCGAAAAACGAACCTTTTCATACAAATCATTAAAAGCATGTCCCAGTTTCACCCTGTTTAATAAAACAGGGTGAATCCAATCTTCTTTGGGTAGCGGGGGTTAATTTTCTGATAGGGCTTATCTGGAAAAGGTCCTCGCTGAATCTTTTCTTTTCTGGAAAAGATCCTTTTCGCTTCCGATAACTTTGACAGACCAAACACATGTGAATCGATCGGTTCATCGACGCGACGATGGATGTCGGCTGGATGCATCCAGCTGATCCAGAAGAACACGACAGTGTTGATGGGAACACACCGGAAAAGGAGTATTATGCATTCTCTGGTTGAGAGCCTCATTGATGGATGCTCCCCTATGGTCGATTCTCCTATAAGAAGGTTACCCTTGGCTAGACCATTTTTATTGATCACAGTCCCTTTGGGTCTTCTGCAACCAGGTGCTCACCGTAGCAACAACAACTAAACTGCACTGACGCATACACTTTCGGGGGTTGGCATTAACATAACGCCGAATACACTGGCAGTTATTTGGTCACGTGGTACTACGCGATTCAGAACACGGATACAAGTATGTTATGTTGAAAACACTTGCTTAGTTCACCATCCATAATCTTTTAAACTTACTGTTCCATTACCTGTTCATCTTGTCACTTCTCAGATATTTTTCTTCGTAGGCTATCCTGCTCCAAAGGAAATGTAGCTCTGAAGATAGCAACTCACATGAAATACCTCGAGGAATCGCCACTTGGAGAGTTTACATTTTAGGACTCTCTGACGTCATCTGTCATGTAAGTATGAAAACACAGGGCGCTGGATCCCAACTGTTCAGTCATTCAACTGAATAACCAAGCCAAAATTTTTAAGAGTAATGTGATTGATCGTTACCTTGTTGAAAAGTTCGAGTAAAAAGCACCTTGAAAGATTCAGCCCAATGAGTAGTTTTGACCTGTTGGTGGAGCCTCACCTTGATTCGTCAATACTGTTACTTTTTTAAGAATCACATATGCACACCATCATCTCTTTTGTGGTGGAATTTCAATCATCCTGTGTCTGCGCATACATGCTCGCACAAGCCTTCGTAACTCACACAAGTTCATATTTAACTCTTACCGGCATTTTGCACGCAATCCTTCAGTCAAGTTCATCCTCGTCTAAAGCATGGCAGATCGTGTGACGGTTCTCAACACGGAAATGAACAAGGAAATGTTGGAATATGCCGTCGAAACGACACGAGAAGCGTTTGAGAAGTACAACGTCGAGACGCAAATTGCAGAGTTCATAAAGAAACGGCTAGACGAGAAGTACGCACGATCTTGGCATTGTGTGGTTGGAACGTGGTATGGCAGGTAGGTTTCAACTTGTCTTGATCGTTTTCGAAACACCCAACTGTTCGGCTATTCACATCCAAAAGGGATCAGACGAGAAGTACGCACGATCTTGGCATTGTGTGGTTGGAACGTGGTATGGCAGGTAGGTTTCAACTTGTCTTGATCGTTTTCGAAACACCCAATTGTTCGGCTATCCACATCCGAAAAGGCATCAAAGATGATTTTTGACGTGGATTTTTTTTGTGAATTAATAAACTACTGAAAAGCCGTTTGGAAACTATTTAAGTTCGAAGTAACTTAGAAAACACCATCAATGGATCATGTACATGTGGCCAAACAGTCTCCCTTAGTAAAGGTACATATAGGACGCTGACCACAAATTGAGCCATCACACAACGGTTCCCCAATGTATTGACGAACCGACACCTATGCGTGCAAACTGTGGGACACATACATACCCAGTCCATTACTACAGCCACACAATAGTTCGCCGATGGATTCACGAAAGGACACGCACGCACGCGTACAAACTCGTGGACACATTCAATCAGCTTCTATACTCCTCGACCGCCAAATTTATGCAACTCCGGCTTTGTCTGCCTTGTTGATTGAAGTAGAAACCTCGACGAGCCTATGGTAGCATCGAAACTCGCTTGAGTCAAACCTGAGTCTACCTGTATCATCAGCTTATTCGTTGGTTCCACATGCTTCCCAGTGGCCTAAATGACGGCATATTATCCTCCCGTATTCTAACAGCACATCGATGTGACTGACTACAGTTTGTTGACGTTACACCCGTCTACACATCCATCCCTTAGCTGAAGGTTGAAGTTTGAAGTAAACATCCTCGCCACTTGGTTGGACGTGTTTATCTGTATTTCGCTTCATAGCACACTTCCGTTGTTTGACCTTGACCGCCAGACGTAGCACATCCAAACGTGTTCAAAGTCTCTCTCCCATTAGCAATTCACAGGGCGACTGGCCTGTATTAGTAACCATGTCCTTTAGTAAAAATCTGTCCAGTCTTCGCTACAGAGAGGTTTGGGAAACAGTCAGTGGGTTCGATTTTGACACAAAAGCTTCGATAGATCACGTGAGTAGTAAATGAATAGGTTGATTGGGCAGTCAGGGAACCAATCCGTGACCAGTGCTGGGTGTCAGTCGGATATCCCCGCTTGTTGCTTAGTGGGGATGAGGGTTAGAGGGGATCTGTCGTGGAACTTTTCCAGATAAGCCCCGCCAAAAAGATTATAAAAAAGAGGATATGAAATTTGTACTCTTAGTTTTTATTGAAGAGAATAAAATTGGGTCATGTCATTATTAACTTGCATGAAAAGGTTCGTTTTCCGGTAAATTTGCCTCCAAACGAACTCACACAAGTAGCTCTCCACTGAAGATCGGTGTGCGCCACAGTGGCATTTATTCTTCATCCTGTAGACGTGCCAAAGAGATTCGATGGCTTGTGTGTGAGCTCCAGTCGTTGGACCCACAAAGTTTTCGGTATGACTAGCCTTTTCAGGAGTATAATTCATGTCAATCGTCGATTCAGTTCCTTGGTATGATGCCCACATACCGGAAATGATGATTGAGTCGGGAGCGATGCAGGCCTGAATGGTGTCCATCAATTGGTCGCAGTTCCATCTGGCACTAGATACATGGACACCTTTTTAGTTTTCCGACATATACTTCCAAAAATCCACTGTTGGAGAAGGACTCGCCCTGCGTGGTTTTTACGGCGAGATATTAGCGTTTTATCGATCTCGACGTGTAGACTTGGGCCGCCGATAACGGTTGGAGTCTTCATAAGCCTCCAGGCGCAAACTTCGCGAAGAAAGTTCTTCCAGACAACGGTGGTAGTTGAATAGAATTACTGTCCTAAACTCCATGCTAGACCGCTCCAGCCCGGTTCCGTTTCGGGGACCGATTTCTTGCCGACACTATCAGGCATTACACCTCCATCTATCAGAAACGATTGAAAGTGTCATTTGGTGGCCATTGTTACGTAAACGTTTCTAATGGATCACTCCGTGACTTTGCGAAAACTTATTACCGTCTCCTTGTCATCAACGAGAGTTGAAAGCATCAGAAAGTTCACTTAAAGTTTTACATTTTTGCACAAAATGAGCCTAGATGCGGATAAGGAATTGTTTTCATCAAAAATAGGTCAAGGTTGTGTGTGTACATTAAATTGGAGCTGGCAAAATGTGGCGCATGCACTTTTTGCATTAGTGGCGGGGCTTATCTTGAAGAGATCCATTGTCCTCATGTTGAACGCGGATTTTGCTGCCTAGCCTTTTCTGTTTAGGACGCCCAAATGGAGTCGTTCACAGATTTTGTTCGCCTGTGTTCGTCGAGGGCTGTCGGGACAATTTTTAGGGGTTGGGAGTGATTAATTGGATCCTGTTCTGCTTGGATTTTGTACTTTTAGACCCGGACCACTTATGCTGATACCTACACACCGCCTCATGTCATCTCGGCTGATCTAGAACCACTCTCCACACGCTTGCCAGTTCTGCGCCCTCTGTTCTATTCCCGCTGGGATGCTTGGCGATTTCCACCACCTAGGCCACCAGTCGCTGTGGTGTGAGTCTCAAACCCCGTCTCAGGATGTCCACATTTTCTAAATCTATCCTATGCCCAGTATCTAGTTCATACCCTATCATTGCCGAATCTTTGACTATCCCCTGGTATTCATCTACGTTTCTCGGTGGTCTATTAATGGGGCGCTTATGGCCACCGATTCTGGTATGCGATTCCCCGGATGTCTGACCTGGATTTTGTTTCACCAATCCATTCCTCGCTGTTGCCACCGCGTTATGAGTGGTATGAGAAAGTGCATTCGAAGCGTGTTCTTCCCCGTTGGTTTTCAAAAACAGTACTCTTGAATGCCATCCCGTTATCAGAAACTATTGTATCAGGTACACCGTGAGATGCGAAAGTGATGCGGACAGCACTAGAGACAGTTTCCTTGGGCGTCGCTTCTTTCCATTTCGAGTACGGGTCGACTATCACAAGAAGTATATAGCCACAATAGTTCACGTGTGTGCGGCCTTACGGTCGCGACGGCCGCTGCCATGGTGATACAAGTGCTGCTGGTGCTGGCAAAGCCTTATTTTGCTGGCATGTCGTTCCTCAGCATGTTGATTCGCCGGAACGCATTTTCTCGCCAGAGGGGTCAACCCTTCTGTACTGATGCCAAAAAACCCAAATAGTCTACATGATCAGCCAGAAATTTCACACTTCTTTGTGTATTCGTAGTTCGTACTCCCCCAATGACTTCAAACGCTCCTGAAGGATAAACCCAGCCATCAGGATGTCGTTCGGATAGACGAACGCCTTCGGTACAACTGTAACAATGTTCCAAACTGTATTTTGATATATGGATGGAGTGGAATTGATTTTAGAAGAAACGCGATTAAACACAGACGGTCAACTGTGAGTACCAGTGAGTGTGATGGGTTCTACCTACTCCGTTCAGTAAATCCAGTCTCGAAGAATATTTGCTCTTACCAATTTTAGGCAGTGAGCGAGGTTCCGCGGGGGCTTGCTAGTACGGACTACGGTTTTATAGTTGCCGCGGATTCTAACTGTGCCATCCAGTTCACTGTTGGCGTTATTGGTGTAGCCCACTCGGAAAATTCCGTACTTTGAGTTACTCCTTCTTCGTAATGTACTACTTATAAGGTTGCTGAAAATTCGTCGACAGTCCACGACCGGGTTGCAAATGAGTGTATTTCGCTGGTTACGTCCCTCTTCGACCGATGGATGCATCGACCGAGACCTCAGGATGGTTGTATTCCCGGCGGAATGTGTATATTCACCCTCACTCGGGAACACTTCTAACTCCTGGGTTCTAAAAGTACTTCCTCGCACTAACAGATAAGAGAATGGACCTTAGACCTTAGACCTGGTTTAATGTTTAATTGTTTACAGCTATCGAAAACATTGGTAGAGAAAATCGTTCAGGTGAAGCACCCTTTCGGTTCTTAACTGCCAGACCACCAGAAGGAAGTACGAGGGCTAGGATACTGCTAGGTTGCCAAAGCCTAGACAGGGGAAGTCGAGAGACACAGAGGTCGGCTTCGAACCACGGACCATCCGGTCAGTAAATTCGTGCCCTAACCACTTGGAACATCTCGCCCCAGCTACAGTGGGTATTCACAGAGGATGGAAATCCATCCAGTATTCTATACTGATTTCACCTTCCACAAGTAGAGTCTGGAGGTTCGCCTGAAATCTACCTTGAGCCGAAATACAGAATGGCTTCCTCTGTCTTCGAAGGCACTAGTAGTTCCAATCATTTTTGGTTATCGACGCTTTCATAGTACAATGGGAATTGTGTGGCTGCAACGAACTAGTAAGTGAATGAGCGTTTGTCATCAAATCGGAGCGACAAACGAGGTTTGTTAGGTCAATGGAGCTGGAACGTGTTTCACGCATGCCAAGTCATTATCAAACAGCTAGAACCCATTTTATTCCCTTAGTAGCCACAAATATGCCATGAGGGGCGATGACGTGACTACACAGAATAAGAAAGTGACATCAATCCACCTGAGCGCTATGAGATCTTCGCGCCTTCCTGGTTGGGGTCCATGAGTTTTCTCTTCTGAACCCCTGAAGATTATGACCAAAGTGTGGCCGGCATATTGTCAGTTTCTGACTGAGCTGTCAAACTTATGGTCCTTCACCATCATCGATTCGGCTTGTGTTTGTTAGACTCGCAAAGTCCAACCCCGTGGATAGCATCTAACTCCGATGTGATTCCCAGACACATTTGGTTACTTACTGTTAAAACTTGTGGGCATCTTAGCGAAATACACTCATTTTCACACTAATTTGGTTCGCGAGAGGACTCATCTGGAACCCAGCTGAATCCCTCGGTTTTGATGTTTCCAGGCAAACCAAGTTAGTTTGCAAATGAGTGTATATTCGCTCATTTCGTGCAATTTGGTTTCAAGTAGAACATAAGGTTGACGGAAACTCGGGGACTGCGCCTACCTGATGAGCCCCAAGAAGGG